AGCGGGGGGCAGGAGGGCAGTGCTGGGGGAGCCCCAGTGCTCCCCCCGTGCCCTGGGACACGATCAGAGGGAGTGATGGAGGGGGAGCACAGCGATACGGGGACAAACCCTGCAGAGCGGAGCTGCAGCCCTGGGAGAGGGGCGAGTGCCCCCCGAAACAGGGCACCATAGCCCACCCCCGTGGGGCAGCTGGAGGGTCTGCGGTACCGCAGGGGCAGGACAGAGGGGCTGCCGGGCAGGGAGTGCTGCCGGGGAGTGCCGCTGGAATCAGGGCTCCCTTGTCCGAGAGCCGGAGCACGGCAGGGAAAGAAGAGCGCCCGGGATCCTCGGGCTGCGATGCTGCGTGCCAGTGGCAGCGGAGAGGGATGCAGGAGCCTTTGTAGGGAGGGCAGCGCCGAGCGGAGCCGCTGCCGAGGAGCTGAGCAGGCCCCTGGTGCTGATGTTGTCATCTGTGTCTCTGTTGTGTATTATTTCCAGCTGATTGGTAAAGATGGAAAGAGGAAGAGGAGGAGGAGGAGGAAGGAACCTGGGAGGCTCTGGCCTGCACAGGAACATTTATTCCCAGTCTCAACAGCAGTACCACTACCCGGCCTCCTCCCAGGGGAGCTGCATGGAGATCCAGGAGCTGGCCTCCAAGAGGGTGGACATCCAGAAGAAGCGGTTTTATCTGGATGTGAAACAGAGCTCCCGCGGCCGCTTCCTGAAGATCGCCGAGGTCTGGATAGGAAGGGGCAGACAGGACAACATCAGGAAGAGCAAGCTGACCCTCTCCTTGTCCGTGGCTGCCGAGCTGAAGGACTGCCTGGGGGACTTCATCGAGCACTACGCCCACCTGGGCCTGAAAGGCGGCCACGGCCACCGGCACGAGCACAGCAATGACAAGGAGCAGCATCCCCGGAGGCGGCCGCAGCACCCGCCGCCTTCGCCCCCCGTGTCCGTGGGCTCCGAAGAGCCGCCTCACAGCGTCCTCAAAACGGAGTACATCGAGAGGGACAACAGGAAGTACTACCTGGACCTGAAGGAGAACCAGCGCGGGCGCTTCTTGCGGATTAGGCAGACCATGAGCAGGGGACCTGGCATGATGGGTTACTTTGGTCACAGCTTGGGACAGGAGCAGACGATCGTCCTCCCGGCGCAAGGGATGATCGAGTTCAGGGATGCTTTGGTCCAGCTGATTGAAGAATACGGCGAAGGGGACATAGAGGATCGCCGGGGGGGAGGCGACGAGCCCCCGGAGCTCCCCGAGGGCACCTCCTTCCGAGTGGACAACAAGCGCTTCTACTTCGACGTGGGATCCAACAGGTACGGCATCTTCCTGAAGGTAAGTGAGGTGAGGCCGCCCTACCGTAACACCATCACAGTTCCGTACAAAGCGTGGACACGGTTCGGGGAAAATTTTATCAAGTACGAAGAAGAGATGAGGAGAATTTACAACAGCCATAAAGAGAAAAGAATGGATGCCAGAGGGGACAGTGGTGAAGAGCAAGAGGGTCTGGAATAGAGTGCATTGGACAATTAACCAAACAAAGCAAGCAGAAATTGGTGAGAGGGACTGACCTATAGTAATTCCAAGTTGCCCCAGTTTTTTGTAAAGTCCTTTTCTGGTAGTTCTTGCTAACTCCAGTACATGATGTTATAGGAGTCTGGTTGTCACGTTAAACTATGCCCAAAACATCTCCGTATGTCTTAGGAAAGGACCAACCTCCCGAGTCCGTATGAGTCAGCTGCTTCGAGTGTTGGAGACTGTGGAAGTACGAGTATCAGCACAAACAAAATCCGGCACCCTGACCTTTAAATAGTCTAGAAAAGGCTTGTGTTGCACTTAAACACGATACAAAAGTACCCCCACCCTGAACCTTATGATGAAATGTATCAGTTTCTGCTTATCACCAGTTTTTCAGGACTGGCTTCTGCCCGTGCTCGGTCCAAAGGCCGAGCAGCATTGCCGTAGAGCGTTAATGGCAAAAATCAGCTCCACGCGAATCTCTGGTCGGTGTGTGAGGAGGGAGAGAGGTTTTAAAGTTGGCATCTCCTGGTTATTGAGTTGGAAAAAATAATCTGTTTATGGGTAAAATCTTGGTAACCGGTCAGACCTCGGTCACGTGCTGGTGAAGGGCGGAAGATCTGTCATTCATTCCGTAGTTTTGTGCTGAGCAGATAACCTGAGTATCCCAGGACAGCGGAGTGCTCAGCCTTCTGAATTAATGGCAGTAAATAATAACCCACTCCTCATCTCCCTGTTCTGCCCGTTAGAGGCTGGTGATCTTTTCTTTTTTTTTTTTTTTTGTTTTTAATGTATTTTGTCAAAAATTTCAGAAGGTATTTTTGTATTGGGCATTCCAGCAGGCGACTGTGGAGCGGGTGTTGGGAGGTGGAAGGAATGCTGCGACCGAGGCTCCCAGTTGATGGGCTTCTCTCCCAGATTAATGCGGTTCGGGATGTTACCTGTGCGAGGAAAGCATTTGGGTGTTTTCCTCCTCCTGCCATGAGGAAGACCTTTGGGGTGTTGGGCGCACCGCTGGATTCGGGTAGAAGGGCATCTCTTCCACGCTCACCCGTGGTGCGTTTCGGAAGCTCTGGTGGATTTTCTGTTGTGTTGATTGTGGGTGGTGTTGGGGAGACAACATCCGTGCCCTGCCATCACCGCCTTCCCGCCCTGCTCCGAGCTGGAGCTGTCCTTGAGCGGCTCCAGTCCCCATCTCGCCTGTCCCAAGGTTTCGATGTCATCCTGGAGTCTTTGTGATGTAAATTTTAAATCTCATGATATTAACTCTCTGCCTGGAGGGCAAATATGTGCAATTACCTGGTTGGGAGGTTGATGAAAGATTCTGTGTTTCTTAAAACATGAATATTTATAACATAAGGGGCTTGTCCAGCCTTTGGGCGACCAGCTCCTTCCCCCTGAACCAGCGGGAGTTTGATTGAGCTCCAGGTACTTCTAGTAGCGTGTTGCTCACCTTTAAGATTGTTTTAAGCAGGCATTACCGTGTCTGATCAGATATTTGTAATCACTCAAATTGTTTCACTGCAGAGTGGCCTAGTGTGCATGTGGACCAGCTCTTTTTCCATGCAACCATGACCTGTTTTATGTTTCAGCCTTTTGAGAAACATCTTTATCTCCAACCAGACCGTTCACCACTCTGAGTCTGGAGCCACCTGCACACTGCATGGCCACGCTCAATCCGAATGCTGTTGCCTGTTAATGTCATAATGAGAAAGGTTGGGGAGACAGGGTTGGGAACCAAGAGGATAATCTGGATTTTAGTTTGGGTACTAAAACTAGTCAATCTGTTTTAAGTTTTAAAAAAAGGAAAAAAAAAAAAATAAAAAAAAATAACAGCTTGCACCAAAGTCACCAAAGAACCTTTAGGAAAATGTTACAGTTGTGACAAGAAGTAAGAAAGTTAATTTCACTGTTTTAGGTGATTCCCCCTTTAAGACCACATATAGCAGTTACAGCAACCAAGCCTTTGGCTTAGTGTCAAAAACTCCCATCCCTTTCTCCATAGGTTGCTCTTTCAGGTCCCTTTTCAAACCTGGAAGAGAAGTTTTCGCTCCATCACTCGAACAGCCAGTGGACCGCGATGAATCAGCGGGAGTTGTGCGGGGTTCTGGTTCATCGTGGCTCTTACGGCTTCGATCCCAAGTGGTTTTAACAGGTCAATTAAAAAAAACCCCATAAAACCCCAAGTTAAAAGTTAAAAGTACTTTTTACATCCTGTTAGGTGTGAAACCAGAATTTAGTGAATGAGTCGTTGATGCGTACGTTAGCGTATCGCTGACTGCTGCTGCCCGTCACAGTGCCTGAGGTAAAGAATTCACTTCTAGTCCAACAAACCGGAGCTATGAATGTACGAACTTTTTACGCTCTCCTTCCCCTTTCTGTGTGGCATTCCTCCCCTGTGAGCTCGGCATCTCCCATCCCTGCCCGCCTTTGCCTCGAGGGATCGTAGAAGCTCCTCGGTTGGAATTAGCCCGAGTGGCCACGTGTGTTGTAAGTGCTCATGCCTTCCCTGTGTTCCCATAGTGTTGGTGAGGAAATCGGTGGTGATTGGAAAGGGATGTTTTCTTCACTGTTTTCAAGGGAAAAAAGGATGCAAAATTGCTTTCCTCATTGCTGCCCATTTATTCTAAAACCCCTTTATCTTTCATTAATGAATTGGCCTTCCAATGCCGTTAGTTTGTCGTAAATATCACCCAGGAATCCAACAACTGCTGGCTACCGGCCGGCCTGGGTTCTGGCACGCTGTTATCCCGTAGGATCCGCTAATGCATTTACTCCCCTGGCACGGGATGCACCTTAGTATCCAAACCTGGATCGGGATCTTCACGTTCGTTGCCGATCGCTCGTGGGTAGACCAGCGGCCGTGGGTTTCCATCGCAGTGGAAAGCGGCGGCGTTGGCGGATGTTGGGTTGGATGGATAACGGCTTTCCGCGCGGTGGGAAGCAGATGTCGGGTTGGAGGGTGGTAGGGATGCACTCGGAGTGTAGCAATGCAAGACTTGAACGGCGAGATTCGGAAACGGGTTCCTTTGTATTTTCAGCAGCGCGTCTTCAGCTTCCCAGAGCAGTGACCACGCGGGCTTCTGGTGCCCAGAAGGGCCCAGCGAGATGCTCGGGAACACTGAATCCCTGATGTGTTTTAAATGTTCGTTCCTGACGCCCTGAAACTGCCATGTCCCTTAAACTTGAGAAAACACAAGCTTATTTGCACTAGAAAGAATGGCCAAAAACAATCCTTAGGAGGACAGGGTGAAGAGCACCGGTCTGAACCTCTTTTTCTCATAAGAGAATTTCCTATTCAAGCCCTCACCTCTGTTTCAAAATTGTATGGTCCCGGCAGAAAGTCTGTCCGTTGAATTATTAAATCCTAATGCACTTTATATTGTGTAAATAATACTAGGAGCACATTTCTGCTCCCGCTCCGGTAAGGGGATGCTTTGGTAACGTAGTCTAATGCTGAGAGAAGCCGTCTCCTGCATGCACGTGTCTGTTAGAGACCTGTTGATCCTGCTTGGTCCAGCTCCGCTCGTATGTTAGAAGAGGACGGGCGCTGTGTCGAGGGTCCTCTCAAGCCACCAAGGGTGGGATGATGATTTGGTTCTTTAAATTGCAGTCTGCAGAGCTGCTGAGCGTCCTCGCCTCTGCCGTGGCAGCGGCTCCTCGCCCCTTCTGCAACCACGGGCCCCCTGTGTTGCTGTTGAGGCTTAAAACCGAGCTTTAGCTTGACAAAGCTGAGTCCAGCAGCTGCCTTGTACTTGGCTTTCCCTGCTGCTGGTGCAAGAGGAGGGGTGGTCCCTGAAAAGCTTATCCTGCATGGAAGGGGCTGCGGGGGCTTCCCCTGCCTTGCGGCCGGGGCGATGTTGTGCTGGGTCCGGCCCATGGAGCCGGCTTTCCTGGCAAAGTGCAGAGCTATGGAAGGGTTGGGGAAGCGTTTTGCACTGGTGTGGAGAGGGCGACCCGGCGGGCGCTGCGGGGGGAACGGCCAGACCCTCCCTCGTGGGCTCCTCGCGTGCAGCCTGGATGGACGGTGGACTTTACCCAGCGAGAAGCTGCAGCGGTTATTGGTATCTACTCGTCGTCGTAAGTGTTTCTTATCTGTATCCGATATATACCGATTCATATCCACGTATAGGCATTAATATATTTATGTGAGTATATTGTAGCCTGTAGTAGCTCGTAGCGAAATAATCTTATTTATCTGAAGTGCAGTCTGAGGAGGGGACGTCTGCTCCCACCACCGGTCTGGATAAACAAGTTATTCCACCCAGAGCTGGGTGCGAGCCCTTGGCTGCGGCCCTCGTAAGAATTCCGTAGGTTCTCGGCAAGGCTGCGAGGGAAAGCGTAGTTAAAAGAAGGCAAAGCTCTTCCTTGGAGGCGTCGGTGAGAGCTGTAAAGAGGCAGCTGCCGGCCACGTCGTGTCTCCATGCCATTTTACAACCCCTGGCTCTGCAATTCTGTACTGCCATGTTCATAAAATCCCGAGCAGAAGTATTAAAATCCCATCCTTTATACAAAAAAGAACCCCCAAGCGATTACCAAAATCAATGTCAGCGCTTTTTTTTTTTTTTTTCCCCAGCTACAGATGTCCTAGTCTGATAACTGCATCATTTTTTTCCCCGCTATGGCCTATTGAAGTGACCTAAACTCCCATGGAAGGGAGCTGGTGGTGGTTAGGAAGCCTTCTGCTCGTGTGACTTGCAGCCCTGTTTTCCAATTCTAGTAATTTTTATAGTAGAAAGGAGTTTATTACTGTGTATTTTTATTGGGCGGATTTTGCACCGGGTCAAAAATTACGTCCTAAGCGTTTTCAGTTCCATGGCATTCCCACTTTTGCTGTTCATGCACTAGATATATGCCATTTGTGAAAGAATTCCTGAAGAAAATTAGACCTTGGGTTTCATTTTCTATGCTGCTTACTCCGAAATTAAGTTGCCCTTTATTTTTAATGACTTAACGTGTTGTGATGTCTAAAATTCACCTTTGCCCTCCTACCCCTCCGTTCCTTTCAAGTGAAGGTTGCGTTTGAAACGAAGAGTTCATTCAGGAAGGAGCGGAATTAAAGGCTACACCTACATAAGCTGTACCCAAGCGAGGCTGTCGCATCACAGCCTTTGCCAAAATGGATTGTTTTTGCAAAATGATCTGGTCTTGCCTAAAAATGGCCTAATCCTGTCACGGCCACAGGAAAAAAGCCCCGGCTAGGGGACAAGGTGCTTTTGGATTTGGGGGATTTGGAAGAAGCTAAAGCCAGGTCTTTTGCTGTTCTGTTTCTCCAAAACCTGCGGAAGATTTCATGGGCTGACATCAATTTTTCTTCCTAATATTTTGTCAGCCTGTGTTCAGTTCCCCACCTGCACCTCAGTAAAGGCAACAGTATTCTAAAGCATCAAGGTGAAGTAAAATATCAAGAACTCCTGATAGATGACATGGATTAAAAATTGGTTTTCCAGAAATGTCAAAGCATAAATTGAGGTTTTATAAGCCGGATGTCGTTTTGGCATTTCTGTGATGGATGTAATTAGATCGCTCCTTCCCCATGCGGAGGGAGGCATCACGCGGAACCCGAACCTGCAGCCTCGGGGCTCTCTCGTGTGCACCAACTTCTGGAAAGGTGCAGGTGCCTGCTGGCTTCTCGTGTGTGGTGGATGTGGCTGCTTTCCTACTGGCCTAGCCTCAAGGGGCCTGGCTGCCCCCCCTATAAAACCATCATTAACGACTTGCTAATTCATCTTCTTAATTGCTAGGCTGCACAGAAACGCTTGGAGTGGCACATGGAAATTGCTAGCTCTGCACAGAGTCGAAACTTAAAAAGGCCTGTTCTGTCTTTCAGGGGTTTTAGACCCATCCAACACACCAGTATTAAACTGGGAGGGATAGCGGCTCCTGCCTCGGTGGCGTTGGTTGGACACGCAGACAGTCGGACGGATTTCTTGACCGCAGTGGGGGAAATCCATCCTGCAGGCGGGAGTTTGCATCTGCTCTTCGTCGTGATCATTTGCCACGCAGAGATTAATTGGAGGCAAAGATGGCCCTCGGTGGCGGCTGCTGGCAGCCGGAGAAAGCCGAGGCTTCGTGCCCGGCCCCGCTCGGCACCGCGCTGGCACAACATCTGTGAATTCGTGTGTGGGCACAAATGAACGCAGAGGCGAGGGAGAGAGGAATATTAGAGATATATATGCACGGACATATCGCAAATACTCGTTTTTCCCCCATTTCCAATAGGTCTTTCCCTTGGAGATATTAAAACGCTATCCATCGCCTACTCTCTTTCCCGTATCGGAGACGTTCGGTGTGCAATAGGAGCGAGATGGGTTTCACAAGCAATATCAACATACTCTACTACTAACCTTAAATCTTTACACTGCAAAGCGCGTGCAACAGAATCTGCATTTCAAAACAGCAGAGAGTATGTGGGATAAAAGACACGGGTTAACCCCAGGCTCTTACGAGTATTCCCATCTGGTCCTTGTTGGGAGCACATGTTGTTGGCACAATGCAGAGGGAGAGGGGGTGTAAGAGCAGAGATAAGTGCTTCCCACCGAGGCAGAGGAACGAAAAGGCAGGAGGGGGCGGAGGGAAGTGAGGACAGGATCCGTGCTCCAGGGAATCACAGAGCATGAGGATGGTTTAATCCATAGTAGCAGGAATGGGCGGCACTTTTGGCATCGGAGTCCCACAGAGCTGGGGTGGGAGACGCAGAGCCTGGATCCTAATGCTTTACTCAGGGACCTGAGTGGTTCTCTTGGGCTGGTTCTCTTTCCTCTTTGGGATCAGTAACACGCTCTGCAAGTGTCTAACCTTGCCAACAAACGCACTGGGGCCAAGCTTGTCCGATGCGTGGAGTTACTGCTTTTACAGCTCGCCCTTTGAGGCTCACGTGGCTTGGCTCTTGGGAGGCCCATCCAGGAATACCTGCAGCAGCTTAGGGGAGCACACAAGTGTTGGTGGCCTGTAAGGTTTGCTGATGCCATCCCAATTTATGGATGCTTGTGTGTGTTTTTCACCAGAGCCTTGCTCCGCACGCTACGTCAGCTGCCTCCCACTCCAGGAACGAGCGATGGAGTGCTGTGTGTATCCATGGGGCAGCTGCTCTTTTCCATCGCTCAGGAAAGGGCTTGGCGAAGGCTGGAGGGGATCAGAGGGGGAAGGAAATTGGCTTTCAAGAAGCAATCTCGTGCCTGCCTTGGCAAAGGGGTTTGTGTGGTTTCTAACAAGATCCTGCGGATGATCTCCACTTGTACCGCCTTCGCTTTCCTGGGCCTGCCACTCTGAGGTCTGAGGTGCAGCAGGGGTCGGTGTCAACAGCTGTGGAAAGCTGTGCTTTGAACCAGTGAAGTGCTGGAGTAATTGCCTGGGAAAGCTGTCAGTGTGTGGAGCAGGGCCTCCTGATAATGGAGATGGGATCGCTTTGGCTTTATCCTGCCTGTGCCTGTGTTCTCCACCACTAAAAGGGGGTGGACGATACCTCCCTACCTCAAAGGCGTGTGAGAGTTCCCGCGATGATCTGATGCTGATCGATGCCGATGATACCCAAAAGCGAGACAGGGAGAAATTTGGGATGCAATGTAGTGTTTGGAAGGTGTCTGACTCTAAACTTGAATTTGCAAGTGCAAGGGTGCCTCTAATGGTGCATTTCAGGGCTGGGTACAGAGCAAAAAGCATCCATATTTTTCCCAAGTTGAACAACCTGGAAGAAAGCTGCTCTTTCGAATCTCTCATGCTGTATATTCCCAGTTTCCCTCCCTAAGCTATGTCACCCTACTTCCACTCAGATTCTTTTCCTGCTGTCCAGTCCACGTGTCCCTTGCTTCCATCTAATTCTATTGCTTTTTGCCTTACAGGCTGTGCTCTCCAGAGGAGTTATATAAACAATTTGGTTTCTTCCCTGCTGCGGCTCTTACACATAATTAAAGGCTGTTGTCAGGTCTCTTCTGCATCCTTTCCAAAGGAGATACAAAACCTTCCACCAAGGGTAATTTTTAGCCCTGCTCATGTTCTCATTGCTTTCTGATTGGTTTGTTCAAACATAAATGTAAGGAAAGCACTGAGTGACAATACAAGCTCCCTGTGCCAGCATGTTTGGAAATACAGGTTTTCCCTTATGTTCCTCAATCTCCCGGGATTCTGTGTTGTCATCATATGAAGAGTCACAGAAATATTGGCATGAACTTCCCCTCAGTAAGATTTTTTGAGAATTTTGTGTGGGTCCAGCCAGAGAGGAGCCCCTCCTGTCCCACGCTGTCACCACTCGACATGGATACATGATGTAGATTCATCCCAGCACCATCCAGAAGGGCATTTAGGCGTTTGACCAACGTGTGTCGGGCAGCTATTTCTTCCCTCCTCTTCCTAGGGAAGAGGCTGGATGTGCCAATGCAGCCCTGGTATTTTTAACATAAATGAATTATCCCTGCTGTTCCGTGTTAAGGGGTGAGCTGGAGCACGTCATGTGCTGGCAGCACGCGAGCAAACCTCAGGGCTCGCAGGGAGCCGAGCCTGGCGTTGGCGTCGCTCCCACCGCTTCCCTTGGCAACTGGTGTTGAGCAGGAGCCCGTTTGTCTCTGGAAGTTCCCCCTGGACCTGTTGCTGTTTGGCAAATTGTCATTTTTGCTTTGGGCCTGGAGGAGGCTGCTGTAATGCTGCCTGGCTGGGAAGTACCTGATGTAAAAGGAGTCTCTCTCTCCTGGGAAGCTGGCAGGGGGAATCTAAAGCCGGAGACCTTAGGCTTTGGGAGAGAGGTGACGGAGCAGTGCTCTGGAGGAAATGCAGTTCAGCGTGCAGTCAACAGATGTGTTTTCTCTTTGGGTTGTCTTCACGACAGCTGCTTGTTCTTTCCTTCTAGATGTTTGAACAGTCCTGAGATCTCCATAGGGCTGCCTAGAACAGGAATTTGTGAGGGAACTGGGCTGCCTCCAAGGACAGTCTCTCTCCTGAGACTCCAATGAACATGGCAAAGTGTTTGAAAAGCTGAGCATCGTGCTGGTGGCACTTTTTAGAAAGAGTTTTTCCCAGGTAGATGTCGCAACAGGGGTGAGCAGAGGTTACTGGCAGCCAAGAACAGAGGGCAAGGGTTTGATCTAGTTCTTGGCAGTAGGATTTATCCTAGATTCGACAGCTCAGTTAGTGTGCATATCCCTGTAGCATGTGATGAAGTTTTTCAATTTAAGCATTTCTAATAATCTCTCCCATCCCAGTAAAATTAGGGAAAGAGATTTTTGGCTGAAATGTTCACCTGTAAGCTGAGAACGGGTGCCATGTTCCACAGGGTGAACCAAACTTCCGTGCCTCTTACCTCAGAGCATAACCCATAAGCTGGCATTTTATTTCTTGCTCTGTCTGGTTGCAAAACCTCAAGGTCACTAAAGTAGCACAGGCAGAAAGCCCTGTAGGGGTTTATACGGCTGAGTGCATAGGGACATTCTCCTCTCGCTTTGCCGGCAGGGCCGGATCCTGCTTGTGTTGTTCCTTTTCCCTGTTGGATCACCAACAGTTCATGTCTCGTGCATGACCTGGCTCGAGGGCCCTAAACCGCTTTTTTTTCTTAGAAGTTCAGCATCTTTTTCCTAAGCTTTTCGTTATGAATCCCTCTGGAAATGTTGTGCAAAGCCCGAATGTGCCTTGGTTCCCTCCCTCACCGTGCGTTTGCTAACTGCTGCAGACGATGTAGGACAAAAAGACGTGGAGCTGGTTATATTTTCCCCAGACAGTCGTTTTGCTCCGTGTCTGTTTTGGTGTGTCTTGGCCTTAACCATTCCAGGGGTCCTGTTCCTCAGCTCCCGCGTGCTTCTGCAGCGCTTGCATGGGCGGTGGGGCTCTGGCAGGTGTTACCCTTAGGCTGGGGCAGATGCTTGGGGTGAAGCTGCAGCAAAGCAGGAGTTTTTTAACCCTGCAGTCAGCCCTTCCCTCAGGGATGGCTCCCAGGTGGAGTAGGGGTGCGTGGACCAGTTTCCTGGGGCAGATTTGATCCTGTGCTGGTGGCAGACTCCGCCGCTTCCTGCGAGCAGCCGGCGCGCACCATCTCGCTTGTAGGCAATGTCTGACAGCTTCCCCAGGGATGAGCTTTGCTGCATCTGCTGTGAGTGCTGCTCTGAGCTCAGGCTCTTCCTTCCCACCACAGCTCAGTGGCATGCCTGGATCCTTTGTTATGTGTAACCTCAATTTGGTTTCTTTGAGCAGTGCCAGGATTTCATTCTCCCCAGGACATTTAAATGGGGTGCAGAGTAATTAGAGTCGCTTTTCTCTGCGTGTGTAATTGCAAATGCTTCCAAATCAGTTTAGGAATCGACCCAGGGGTTTGATGTGGGTGAGTAAATTCAGGCACGTGGGATGAGCGTGCCCACAGCAGAGCGGGCATGAAGATGTGGAGATAAGAGCTGTGCCTCTGCCAAGCTCCTCTCTACTCTCTTGCAGTCCTGTACTGACTCCGGTTGCTGCAATGGGAGCCACCGGGACCAGAGACCACCAGAGCCTGCCCACGAGACCTGGGTCAAAGTGGCAGCAGACACCTGAGCTAGGCAAGGGACCGCCACCCACAGGTATTGTGTATCCCATTATAACTCAGAGGGAAGGTGTCCACAGCTTTATCCTGGATAAACCACAGGAGCCCAACTCTTCCATCCTTCCTTTTCTGCCTCTTGGACTTTCACCTCTCGCCTGCTGCATTCCCTCTGGATACAGGCATGTCTGTCCTGGGATCAGCGTGTGCCAGCACGCAGCGTGCACGTAGTCCTGCTGCATCCCGGCCCCCTCTCCGTAGCAGCATTTATTGCTGGTGTCAGCACAGTCATCCCTCAGCGCTGCCAGGGGTAACCCTTGGAGCTAGCCACTGATAAGTTCCTTCTAGCTGTCTTATTGAGAAAAAAAAGAAATAAAAAAGAGGAGGAGGGAGGTGCTGTAGTCGCCTGATGAACATTTTCATGGATGCTGCCAGCTTTTTACTGTGGGTTACCTTGGTGAAGGCATATTACAGAGACTTTTCTTTTAAAAAGAGCTTAAAACTGTCTGTTTGGCAGTGCTTTGTGTTTTGTGCTGATCTGTGTGAAACCCCAAGAAAACCCCCAATCCAGAGGTGGTGCCCACTTAACTCCTGCCTGCGGCATCAAGCTGCAGTTTAGCCTGTTGCTTTTGACACCTCTTCCCCGCACTTAGGAGGCACCTTCTAAAGCTGGGATAACCTCCCTAAACCTCCTTCCTCAGGCTCTTCACAGAGGGAAGTTTGCCCTCTTCCTCCCCACTGCAGCCCTCGAGCTGTTGCAATAGCCCTCTCTCCTTGTTCAAAACCACGCCGGCCTCTTCCTCTCAGCGAGGCTGAAGATGCTGTGCAGAACAAAACAAGCAAGAGGCCACAATATGGGGATTTTTCACTTGCCTCAGCCTAAAAACCAGCCTCCTCCAGGCTCTCAGTCTTCCAAGAGCTTCCCACCTTTCTAGCCAAGCGGTTTGTTTGCTAGAAGAAAAATTGGTAGCTTTGTGCTAGCAATAACTGAAGTCCCCTTTCACTAGCGCAGGCATTTTCTCCTTTGAATTCTGTTTGAATGCAGAAACTATTGTGAAATGAGAGCGGTAATATCGGGAAAGGGGAAAGCAGAGTGTTCCTCTGGATAGGGTTTGATACAATTTGAAGCTGCTTGTGGAAGATTGGCTGGAAGGTAAACTGATTTGGGCTAAAAAAGCTGGTGCTGGTAAAGTGTGTTAGTGACTCTTCAGCAGGTGGTCCAAAATAGCTTTTTTATGGTCTCTGACCTCTAGGAAAGATAACCGGATTTTTGATCTTAGATTGAAGGGACAATTTCTGCTGGAAGAGACTTGTGTTCTTTAGAAACTATCCCAGGCTGGCATTTACTGTCAAAAACATTTCATGGAAGCGGACAGACAACAAGTGAAAAATCACACGTCTGAGTCAACCCCAGGCAAGCCTTGCAGGGCGCTGTCGCTGAGGTAGCCAACCATCCAGAATTCAGGATAGATCCCCGTTGCCATCCACCCTTCTGGTGGTCCCTGGCCACCAAAATTCCCCATGGACACCTGTGGAGGTGTGATTAGTCAGGAGCTCCTGGTTTGGCAGCATCCTGGGCTTGATCCATGGGCTGTAGAGGTGTCGTGGCCCCAAGGAAAAGCGTTCCACTCCAACATTCCCGCGTTGTGTCGGAGCTGCGGCGCCGTACCAGGTGGTGGCTGCTGAGGTGGGTATTGAGTTAGAGGGGTGCGTTTCCAGAGCAGTGCTTGGTCACCAGCTGTTGTCCAGGACGCAATGACTTTTTGGTACAGCAGTAAAAAAAAACAACAAAATAAACCTTTTCTCTTTGAATTTCATGTCAGGGGCCTGTTTTCTGCCAAGCTACCCCCCACCGTTTCAAATGTATTTTATTCTCCTTTTCTTTCCACTGGTCCCGTTCCGCTCCGCTCAACAGCTGCCGCATTTAATCCCAGAAGCTGCAGTTGGTAGGGAGCAAAGTGATCTCCATATAACCTCTCTCTTACTCATAAGCGTGCATTATGAAGCTTAACCGATGGTAATAAAATGTTTTGCTTTCAACATGCTGTCCCTGTGGTCCAATGTTCCCGTCTTCAGGCTCCATCGTTACGGCGGGGCGATGGATCGGAGCTGTTCAGCTGCTCCCCAGGAACGTGCCTGGGAATGCTGGATGTAGGCCTCATGGATACCCAGCCAGGAGAGATGGAGAAGGTGGAGCAGAGCCCTTTCCGTGGGTGGTGGCATCCCCGGCTGCGAGCAGCTCTTGGAGGAAGATCGTGTCTTGGCAGCCGAGGAAAGAGGCGCTGGGGGTCTTGCTTGGCCGAGACCCAAGCGCAGGTTTTCCCGTCTCCGTAAGATTGTCTGGCAATGCAATCTGGTGTGAGAGCCTCTTCGGGGACCGCGGCGCTACGCAGGGGGAGCGGGAACAGATTGCAATCCTGCTGCTTGGTCGGGTTTTCTTCATCCCTTTCACAACCACTCTGCGGGTTCATGGCTTTATTTGGCTTCTTGTGTTTCCTGCCTGCTAAAAAAGGGCATTTTCATGCCACCCTGCACGATGGATGTTTTCGTCCAGGCGGGAAAAAGGATGTTTCTCATCCACGTTTAAGTAACCATACAAAATGTGGAAAGTCTGCTTTAGGAATTTCATTTTTGTTTACACGCCATTGATGCTTTTATTAAAAGCATCTTTTCGCATATAAATAATTTAGAGGTCATATGATTTTCCTGCTCTAAACCCAAAGCAGGGATTTCAAAGCAGGGATCTCCAAGCATCATTTCTGTGTCACGGTGGGTTGCATCAGCCCTAGAGCTGTATTTTTGTTGAACAGGACAGGGTTTTTCCATATCTGAGGTCTATAGCGTTTGGTTTCAAAGAGGAATTTCCCAGACAGAGCCCCCCAGAAGGTATCAGAATACATGGCTTTGTCAGGCAACGATAGCAGCTTTTTTCTGGAGATTGCCATTTTGTAAATAAGCTTCTTCTCAAGCAGCACGGCTACAGCTACGAAAGATGGATGATTATTTCTTCCCAGAATGGGTCTTCCGCTGCAGGATCTGGTTTTTATTGCGATAATTAGCATAGAATTAAAAATGGCCCCGCATCTTCAGCTTGCACTGTGCTGCCTCTGGTACCGAGCAGTCTGGGATGGTGTTTTCCTTGGAAATAGGCTGTGTCTGGGAATCACTCGATTCACCACTGAAAACCAGTGCACGGATATCTGCAGCCTCCAATGCAGCAAAAGCCTCCGCCTCCAAAGATAAATTATTGCCCCTATTATAAACTTTCAAATCAGTTGTTTTGTTGGAGACTGGAAAAGTTGCTGAGGATATTTAGGTGAAAATTTAATGCGGCGGCCGGAGCGGGATTTTAAAAATGCCTTTAAATTCCGGAGCTCGGGTTAAAGGTGAGGTCACGGGCAAGCAGACAGCTTTTTCTCCTAAAAAACCTGTAATAGCTTTTCTTTTTAAAAATTTAACAGGATTGCCAGCCCAGGTGGAGGGACAGTTATTTAGGATTGTCACACATGGACGACAGTGTATCCGTAGGAGAAGCGAATGCGGCACGACGCGTAAACTTCCTTGTGAGAGCCGTGCAGGAAATTACTGTGCAATTGGACGCGGTGTCCTAGCATTAGATTTATTATCCACTTCCAAATCATCTGCCAAAAATCCTTTCAATCGGAAGGCAGGAAAGAACATGTTATAAAAAGACCTGGGAAAGGAGTCGTTTTGGCACGGGCGTTTTCAGGCTGGTAATTGTCCATGCCTGCAGTGTTTGGGTTTGGTCTCAGCACCGAGGTCAACGCTACTTAAACCAAGCGTGATCCCCATGCCAGGGTATGGCACGGGGTGAGATGTGCCAGTCTTGCAGGATCAGGCTTGAATACAGCCCTGGAAGATTCTTCCTTGCCCTGAGTCTCTTGCTCAGCGATTGCTTTTAATCCTGCAAGATTAGGGGAAAGCCGTGCTGTGCAAGCTGCTACTCTTTTCCCCCTTGGGGGACTTGTTCCTTGCTGGGTGGCAGGGTCATGGCCGCATCCACGTGCGTGTGTGCATTCCTCAGACTGGATATATCTGTATCTGTCATTCCTGAAGTTTCTTGTCTGGATGGTGGACTGGAGATGGTCGCGTTTCCCCACCATGTACCTCGTTGTCCTCCTCACTGCGGGGCACTGCCCGTATCCCACTGCATTTCTCCAGCTCCCACATTCTTTCCAGGCTCCTTTCTTTCCAGCTGGACACCTGCAAAGGTGGATCTACATCCCTCTCACCTGTATGCACGAAGTTGCTTTTTGCATGTTACATCCATGGCAGTAATGGAAATAAGTGACCTGAGTTTGTAGCTCTGCTTTTACTCCTGGGATATTAGTGCTGGAAAACCATCTCCCTAGTGCTTGGTCTCTGATGAGAAACATGTCTGCAGCTGTACCTGCAGCATCCCCAGCATATCCTGCCAGCTTCAGCAAGTCAATACTTTTGACTTGAAGAGATCTTTCTCCATAAAAAGGATCCACACCCACCTTGGACACACCAGATGTTGCCTTGTGAAACACTTGGGAGAGCTGGTGGCAATGCATGCAGGGCCTGGTGAGCCAGTTTGCTGTTCTGTGACGTTTTTTTGGGGTGCCTGCTGAAACACAGTGACAACTGGAGGTTCTGCTTTCCCCCTTTCTCATTTGTCACTTTTCTTTTGGGAGAAAACAACCTATTTTTGCCAGTGCTGAGCTCCCAAGAGACGGGGGCAGGAGGGCACTGCTGGAACACGTCCCTGCTTACAGGAGACACTTCCAGCCCAGGGCGAGGACTGGGACCAGCACAGTCCTTAGCAGGGAGATTTCCTGTTCCCAGCAAGCAGAGCCATTGCTTTTCTAGCACGAATGTAAAGGTAGGGCTGGGTGATGGAGCAGTTGGTGGGAAGTGTGTGTTGACTGGGACAAACAGCCTGTCACCTGTTGGGATGAATCTTCTTTTCCCAGCCTCTTTCCAGGATCGTGCTGATCCAAAGTCCTTCTCCAGAGCTTTTTGCTTCACAAAAATGAAGCGGGGCCATCAGTAACATCAGTGTTTACCAGACCACCTTCGTTGTCTCGTCCTTGCATTCGTTGTCCTTTGACTGGTAGAGTGGTTAAGAGAAACAAGCCAGCTTAATGCATGGTCAGAAAGCTACAATTAACAAACCACAAATAAGTAGGTAAATAGGCTAAGCTGTAAGATAGCGTGTAAGAGGAGGCAGTCTGCCTCTGTCAAGTGCATGATAAGCATCGGCCAAGCTTGTTGCAGACACTGGGCAAGGCTGCTTTCGCTAGACTTTGAGTATCCTAGTTTGCAAAGGCTCGTCAGTGTTCCTAAAGGCTCTTGGTTTTGGAGTGGGGTCGTCTCTTGTTTTCTGTGCGCTGTGACCACTTGCTTCCCGAACGGGTTCGTAGTGATGGACTTAATGGAGCTGTTCTTTATAGTGACCTAAAAGGTGTCAGTCGTTTGCTCGTGTGTGTTCACAAGCTGAGCCGTGGCGTTGCGCGTCCCTCCGCAGTGGTGTGGTTTGAAGCACTTTTGGTGTGGCATGTGCAGTTGCAGTGCTGTCTGTTTTTAATTTCCCCCCCACCCTGGGATGCCCTCCCCGTGTTCCCCCGTCTTTCGGACACTGAACCAAACCGACGTTGGGACTAGCACTTTAAGTACTAGTAGTCACTTTGCTTCGGACTAAACTGAGCACTGCACTTTTGTACATACTGTTAGCACTGAGTTTGGAACTCTCTTCTTTTCCCCGTCTATTTCCCCTCCTTGGCGCAGTGTTAATGACCTAGGGGCCATCAGAAGAAAATGCTGAGGTGTGTTGGACCACTGTCTGGTGCCTGATTTCCATTACATATCCATTAGCAATTTGATAGTAGGGAATTTACCTATCCAAGCTTATTTTACACGACAGAACCAACACCTAAATCACTGAAGTCCAGGCAGACGTGGTTGTTGTAAACTTGGAGGTCACCCGGAGCCCTGAGCGCGTGGCTTTTAAAAACACCAAAGATAGGGGAAGGAGAAGTCTCACAAGGGATTGGGATGGTGCAAGAGCATCTCCTTGTCTCCCGGAACTGAGCGGAGCAGGAGTCGCGGGGCAGACGCTCCCGTGTGTGGTGAGACACCCCGGTGAGTCCAGGGGCCGAGCCCAGTTCAAACCAGTCTGAGATCCTGGTACCAGTAAAGGCTGCGCTCAAGCCATTGCAATAAAAGCTGTCACTGTGCCTGCACTGGGAGTGCTGTTGGAATTGGTTGTGGGCTCCAACTGCAAAAGGTATTTTTAAGTGGAAAAGGTTTAGAAGATGGAGCATAATAACCCTGGGGTTTGCTGTTGAATTTGGAAAGCGTTGTTAGGAGTTGATCAGCTCTCGTGTTCAGAGGCGGTTCAGATGTGCTATTCCTGTTAAATTCCTGTGGTATTCCCGTATGGAAGGCCAGGGATCAGAGCTCCCTTGCCAGCAAGAAAGCAGCAGGGTAGAGTTAGTAGGAAACATAGTCAGAAATCTCTAGGATTCGAAATGGGATGGTGATCCCTGGGATGCTGAATAATCTGGGTTTTGATGTCCCAAACCACCCACTCCTGACCAATTTGGTGGGGTTTTGCTTCTCTAAAAGCCCCTGTGGGTTTTCCATGGCAGCAAATAAATCATGGTGGGTGTGAGAGCTCCGCGTTCCCTTCACGCCGGGGTATCCGCACTTGGGACTGCTGCTCATCATCCTTGACGAGCCCACAGTCAATCCAAATCCTTCTCTGGCAATCCTCCCTGATGGGAGTTTCTCCCCGGTGACACTTGATGGATAAACCCTGCCAGCACAGCATGATCAGTATGAATGCAGAGAAGGAAATTAGGTCTTCTCCTTCACTGCTGCTAGCAAGGGGCCGTCATGGAAATAACCTTCAGCAACAAAAAGAAATGGGCGTGTTGGGTTTCCCTGTTGCAGGAGATGGAGGAGTTTTCCTGAACAACTCCACTTTTACTGGCTGGTTTTCCTTCAATAGACCTTCAGGGGCTTGGGTATTCAGTGGCTACCCAAGATGGTTAAAAACCCCAAATCTTGAGCAGCCCCAAGTGTTATGCTCTTACATCCTCTATCACTGGATGTAAAAACAGAAATAGAATCCACGCTTTGGGTTGGTTTCGGGTTTTTTTTCTTCCCCCCCGCCACCCGCCCCTGCCCCCTCCACCAAATTATCCCTGCAAATTTAGCTTTAAAGAAATAGCACCAGGCAATGCTGCTGCTCTGTCTGAGCCCCCAAAATTACAGTGGCTGAGGGAACAGCCTCTTCAGAGAGTACCTCGGTGACTCAGAGCCCACATCCTGCTCACTGTCACCAGGATAAAGGCAAACCATGTAGGAAATTCCTGCGCCCCCCCTCCTCCCCCAGCAAGCCCACCAGTCTCATCGAGTCCTTGGAAATAAACTTGGGAGGAAGGGGGAAGTGGAACAGGTATTTTTGTCTTGCTTTCCCCGTCAGGTGTAGTTTTTTGTCCCTTGGAGATGGCGTCTCATCCTTTGGGAAGGTGGAATGAAGCGTTTTTTCTCCTGCCCGTCACACTTGAGGCCTGAATGCAGATCCTAGCACAGCACCTTTTGCTCTGGAAGGGCCTTTTAGGTGGAAAAAAGAGGATTTTTAGTTGTTTGGGTTTTCGGATAGCTCGTGGGAAGCGCATTGTAACAGCACACAGGTGGTGTTTTACCAACCTTTTCTGTTCCTCCAAGAGAGACTTTTTAATTTACTTCAGTAGTTTAGAGTTCGTTTCCTTGAAAGTCTTTTTGGACCCATGAAAATGCCCTTGAAATGAGTCAAGTTTATCAAAGCAAAATTGTGCACACACCCATGCACTGGCCTGCGTGTTCGTGCTTGTCTCCCTGGGTGTGTATACACACAGAGAAATATATTATTTCCCAAAACATTCCTTTTTTTAATTTTTTTTTTTTTTTTGGGGTTGGTTTGGTTTTTCTGGATTTGTTTTCCCGCACCCCCAGGATATTAACCAAAAGGTGTTTTAAAGTCATGGCATGAAAACTCCTAAATGTAAATCTGAGTACCTTGTGATGCTAATTAACAGGTTTTTTCCTGAAACTTTATGTGATGCTTAATATTTTCCTTAGGAAGTTTTGTTTAATGTTAGATCATTGTTCTGGAGGATGTTGGTCCTACTGGCATTAAACTAATGGAAATAAAATGCATGTGTTACAAGTGTAGAAACGGTGAAGAATTAAGTGTGAGCTTACTGTACGATACTGATTCTGTTTTCAAACAATCTGTTTTGCTGTTCAATAGTTGACATATGGAAATGCCAATGTACTGTAATTTAGCACTTTTCCAACGGACCCTGTTCTCACTACGCCTGAGGGAAGAAGCAGGTTTGGCTCGAGGCCGACTGAACGCAGCCTCTGAACCCATTTCTGCGAGTTTTGGCACCAGAACTGGCCAGGTGGAACTTGACTTGGAGGTTTTTGCATCGGTTCGCTGGCTGGCACAGGGCGGAGCGGGGTGGCTCTTCCATCCCCCGTGGCCAAACCGGGACGATTGTGCAACTTGGTGTGGTGAAAGGTGTCCCTGGCCATGGCAGGGAGGGTGGCATTAGATGATCTTTGAGGTCCCTTCCGTTCTGGGGTTCTAGGATGCCGTGATTTGGACGCAGCCCTCGCTGTGGGTGGATGGACTGGTGGCACTGCGCTCCACCAGCGCATCCCCCTGGGAGCCAGGCTGGCACAGGGCTGTCCGAGCTGGGGTGGGACAGCGGCCGAAATCCGAGGGCAGAAGGGACGGCCCACCGGCCACCCCTCTCCAGCCCAAACCCTCCTTTCCTAGTGCTAACAGGGTGCAAAGTGTTACTTGTCATGTACTGTACTGAAAGGGTTAATTGATCAGTGGCTGTATTGTACTGTATGAAAACTCATGAATTGCCTTGTATTGTTTCTAATGGACTGTTCCATGTCTCCCCACGGCCCATTCCCACGTTTCCCAAAGGACGCATGTGCTCAGTTAGGTCCTCCAAACTCTCTGGTGCTAACTCCTCCGTATCCGATGGTGCTCCTGCGGACGCTAACTGACCACATGCCCGTCCCCGGCTTGAAGCTCACCACGTCTTTCTTGTCTGTTTGTATCGAGTCTCCCACACACACAGCCCCTCCACACACACGTGAGAAAAATTAAGGATAAACTTGAATTTGTTTCAAAGCCTCATTGACAATCTAATGTTTTCTATGTCTGCTTTTATTTTGGGATGGTTTTTCTAGAAAGCAGCCCGCCAGCACCTTCGCCCCGGGAGGGGATTTCGTCCTGTTCACTCCTCTGGCATCCGAGGTGAGCTCCTCCCTCGCTGGCTTTTCAGGTTCAGCCACTGGAGGTTGAGCCATCAGGAGCCAGTGAGGAAGAGGAGGTGCAGGTGCCTTCAAAGATGCCCAACCCTAAAAAGCATCTGGGATCCTCATGACTGCACGATCCAAACGTAGGTGGGTGGGCACCGAGGGTCTTGGAGGGGATGAACCCTGCCTTGCTTTGTGGCAAAAATCGGCTTTTAAGGAGAACGGAGGTAGAAATTTAGAGTCCCAAAGGCGCCTCCATCTCCTCCCAGCATTGTTTATCTCCGCTGGCAGAGGAGCCACCTCCCGAGCCTGAGGTTTTCCAGGTGACACACGCCTTGGATGGCCCGAACAGGGCCATCCCCTCCAACCCCCTCCCACCCCCACCCCCCAGTGCGAGCTGCTTTTTGGACAAAATGAAATCTGACTATATTTTATATCGATTTGAAAACAAAGTCTGATATTTACCCCTGTTCTCAACTGAATTTGCATATTGTTGTTTGCCACGATATTTGTTCTGTCTTCAAATAAATTTGCTTACTTGTGTAGTCTTAACTGTCTGCTCGGATTCTTACCCTCAGATTTATCCCTGCTCCAAGGTGCCTGCACCACAGCTCTCCTCTGAGTGCTTCCCAGGGAGGCGAGAAGGAAATTTTTCCGGGAGGGGGAATCATTTCAGGCTGTAAATGTTTTACTCTCCCTTATCTCCCATTCATCTCCCCGGGGCTTTTCAATTTGATGCCCTTTTCTCCCCCCAGTCTTCCATCATCGGCTCCTTCTATCCGGGTAAGTGTGTGACAGAGGAAAGGCTGCGCCTCAGCCCGCTTCGTTTGTGAGATTGAATTGTTGCTAACACATTTTATCCAGGGTGAGGCATTTCCGACGGCGGTGTTTTGCATTTGGGAACGGAAGGATTTATGGCTGCGAGCGGCCGAGAGCTCTGGGCATCGGCGTCGGCATCCAACGCCGGCTCTCCCTGCACATTGCATTAGCGAGACGTTGGCATCAGTCACCGGAGACGTCGCGGCGGAAGGCAGTGCCCTCAGAAGGCTGGAAAACCGATTTGCACATGCGTTTCCAGGGAAGTAATCAAATCAGCCAGCAGGTTCAATAAAAGGAATAGGCAAATATTCCAGATTCGCCCGCCTTCGCAAACAAAACCTGTTGCAAGGCTTGCAGGTTTTGGGGTTCCTCCCCCTCCCCAAAACAGCTGTTTGGGGATTAAAATTGTTCCAAGCTGCTGCAGGGGGACATTTTTTATTCCTTAAAAGACACGGCTCTATCCGAGAGGAACATTTCAGGAGAATCCTTGCCAGGGTTTGGTCACTCTCCTTTCTTTTCGAATCCATCCCTGTGCACGTGTTATGGCAACAGAGTCCATTTTCAGAGATTCACCCCCCTTCTCCTGGCAGCATTCCCCCTCTCCCTGCCTTCATCCTCCCCTCTGATCCCCCTCTAGCTTTTTTACCCAGTTTATCAAGGTTTTGTAATGTTTTCTGTAATGCTGCTCCTCACAGTACGAGCAATGCTGCCCACGGCAATACATGTCACCACGGGAAGGAGGGAGAGGAATCCCGTGGGGAAACGCTGGGAGAACGAATCCAGGTTTCACAGAGGGTGCTGCCAGGTACGTCTGCCTCCCATCCAGTGCCAAAATGCCGTGTCTGCACCCCAAAATGTGTTTTAGGGATCCGTATCCTCGTGGCCCTGGGCGATCCGGTGCTCCCCTGCACCCTCACGGGGGGTCAGGTGCCCTTGGAGCGGCTCCCACTGGGTTTGTGCACCCTCAGCTGCTGGCAGAAGGAAGAACTTGACTGATTTATTTTATTTATTCCCCGTGGGGGTGGTTTTTCTCCCCTCTCTAAAACACAGGAATCCAGCAGTCTTTGAGAAGCGGTGGATAAGCCCAGGCAATACTTTCCATAGGCAGTGGTGGCCACGAGTAATTTTTTCTGCTTCTTTTTCTCCTGTGTTTTGTACCACACCCTAAAAAAGCCAAGTTTCAGTGGAAAAATCACAAAAATGAGAAAGCAAGGTACCCCATAGGGGGGTCTAATGTTACACAGCCAACATTAATGTATTTTTTAATAAAGTGGCCTTTTATGCCACTTTACCAGCATTGCCTTTTTAGAAGGTTCTAGCACAGAAATGATGAGATTTTAGAGGTGGTGGTGGAAAATCCTGCCTTCATTAATTCCCTCTCAGTGAGGCTTGTCAGTTTTCCCTGCCAGGGAGCCTGATGAATGTCCCCCACTGCTGCCGGGAGATTCCGCAGGCTCTGCCCCTGCCACTCCTTTGCAGGAAAATCCACAGCTCATCCCAAGAGCTCCCTCTTTCCAATAAACCACGTCGTGCTGCTCCGAGGATGGTCCTGGCTCAGGCTGCACAGCTGCAGGTGCCAGGTTTTGCCGGTCCTTTGCCGAGGACCCGCCGTCGGGTCGATACCTCAGAAACCTCTTTATTTCTGATGGGGAGCCAAGAGAAATATCCCAGCTCCATCTTTCTATTTAAGCTTTGCCTATTAAACATTTTAATGGTGGCAAGGAATCAGTAAATGGAAACTTAGCACCGAAGCGTGCGTGTCCGTATGTCCGTGCATTGTTTCCTCGAATTAAATCACGAGGAAACCTTCAGCAATTGAAAGATGGAATAAAAGCTGTTCAGCATTTGTTTTAAGGCTGACCTCCCGTGGCTCAGGGTGCTCTTTTTTGGGCCATGTTGGACAAGCCAGGGGTGATTTTTATGGGGGGGGTGCTGCTTTCCCATAGGCTTTTGAAGGCATGGAGTGCATCATGTCCTCGGGAAGCTCCGGGGTGGGAAGATTGATTGTCCACTGCCATGAGGCAGGATTTGCCTTGTCCCATGGCTGTTCTCTGCTGCAGCGTCACAAACATGGGCAATATGGTTAAAAATGATCTTCTCTAAAACAAATCTGCAACCAAAACATCCAGAGGAGTGTGAACAGTTCCTGGCAGCTGTCTTTCCTGGGAATTGGAATGGTGAGTGGTTGTCACCTAGACAAATACCTAGAAAGAAGTAGTTTATATAAATTGCTCTCTTTTCCTTTGTTAGCTGTAGCTTTACTTAGAAAATTCACTTCAGGGATGTGGTGTTTTGAATCCTTTAATTTTTTCCCTCGCTTCAGGGTGAAGTCCCAAGTCCTGTTTTACCCAGCGGAGAATTAAGGGAACTGTGACCTACGTCAGTGTTCCTGGTAGGACAGCCAGAGTAGCTCCCCGGCCTTCCCATCTGACATGAAAAAATATCATTATATGTATCTATTAATATATTATATTACATTAGAAATATCACTATCTTATCCTGCTAAAAATCCCAGGGAAGTCTCTCCCAGTCCAAAAGTGTCCCCTTGGCACTCCAGACTGTAGCAGTGTCACAGCCTCAGTTATTACATCACTGTCCTGATAATACTGCTCCATTTGGACATAGAGGAGACAGTAGAACAAGTCCAAAGGAGATAAATAAAGAGCAGTGGGTAGAAATTGGTGCAGGTCTGTCACCCTTTAAAGCTGAGGGCAAGATGAGTAGAGTGCCAGATTGTAAGCAAATGTATTCATTTTAACTGCTTATATTCACTAATCACGTGTCATATTTGGTACATCATCATAGACGCGCCCCAGTTTTGAGTATTGCTCCACAATATTTCACGGGAATGTGGTGAAAGGAATTAATCACACGAGTTCACTGAAAGGCAGACAGGGATTGATCATCACATTCCCGGGCCCTGCTGCCAACGCTCGCGACTCGACACCCACAGCGGGCGCAAATCCTTGTGATTCTCCCCTTAGAGAGAAGGGAGCATTTGATTCCAAATTTTTCCTTGGAGAGAAGAGCGCAAGTTGTGCCAGGCGGCCCCGGGCTGGGCCGAACACGACGGAGCGCAGCCGCCATCGCCTCCCGCAGCCGTGAGGGGAGAGGGGGCGGGGCCCCGTGAGG